TAAAAAAAAAATATATATATATATATATAACTGTATTGCTATTGAATGATATTGATCATAAATTGGCTGATAATGGATTTTTTATTAACTAATTTAATTAAGTACATGTCCATTTCCCCCTTTTTTACATTTATATTACTTATGCCATTATCTAGCATTCACTTAAGTTCTTTAAAAGCGTGAATAATTTCAATTTCTCAAAATGAATATCCAAGTTTCATACTGTATATTATAATGTTATGATGCCTAAACTTGTAGCATTTAACATAATCAATTTTATATTTTATTTTTCTTTATTTGTTTAGATAAAATAGTGGCAAATTTTAATAACAGCCATTTATTGGTAATTGGCCTTCACATGAAAAAAAATATATCGGCTTATAAGTATCGGATACTGATTGATTTTATTTATTAAAATTTTTTTTACTTATTTAGACAAAATAGTATAGAATTTTAAAATCAGCCATTTATCGGTTATTGGCCTTAACATAAAAAAAATATCGGTTTATTGGTATTGATCAACTGATTTTAGCTTTTATTTTTTATATAGGCAGTGTTTACTTATGTAGACAACATATTTTAAAATTTTAATATAATTTATCGGTTATCCACCTTAACATGGAAAAAAATATGAGCATATCATTATGAGCTGATTCATTTTAGTTTTAAGAATTTTATTTTTCATTTATTCCGACAAAATTGTATATAATTTATCCGATAAATAGAAAAAAAAATGTATTATCGGTAATGGCCATAATGTTACTATTGGTGCATTGTGAGATGCTCTGTTTCTCAGCACTGCATTCTGTACATATACTCCATTTTCACTAATCTGTGGCCCAACACTGTGGCCTGGGTGAGCTGAGGTCTCCTGTAACAGAAGGAGGTAGTTCAGAGAGGTTGTGTAGGCAGGAGAATAGCCATCCATTGTGTATTGCACCACACTCTGTGTTTGAGCAGACAATGCATGCGTCAGGTCAGCTGCCTGAGCTCTGCTACAGTAGTGCATTGTTTGCATGATCCACATCTCGCTCTGGAGACAGTAGACCTCTCAGCTCTTGACGGTGACTCAGGGGCATCTGTACACACTGGCGACAGTGTCTGCTGATCACACCTCTGCTGCCGCCCGCTGAAAATCTCAGTCATTCCGCTTGTCTGTGAACTCATCCATCTTTCTCAAAGACAAGCCTTGTTTCTTGCTTTCGGCGTCAACTTTGGCATGTCTTTGAGGTAAAATGATAGGGTTTAGTGGCTGTTGTGAACTGCAGGTTAGCTGTGTTGATTGGCGACCCAGCTGTTTGAGTGGTATGTTTTCCCAGCACCCCCTTTCTGGTGATCTGTGGAGGTTTTTATCATCTTTTCTGGATGGCTGGGAAAGGCACGGGGAGGGAAATGTGTCAGAGACTGTTTGGGGGCCTCACTTTTCTTTAGTGGTGTCAGTCAGCAGGGCCGTGGCCTCCACGCTGAATCAATATGGCTTTTGTTGGAGGAGAAAAAGCTCCTTTACAGGCTTGGATCTTGGAGGGAAGCAGGGTGATGCAGGATAACAAGAGAATAAGCATCCTGACACAAGGTTTCAACATTCCCAAACAGGATCAATGTGACACATTTAGCAGTGTTAATTTTCAATCCTCATCTTTGATTTTCTCACAGCCACAGCGCATACTCCTACAAACCAGTCAACGTGACCTGATTGGTTAGTTCACTTGGGGTTGTTCATTGATTTCATGCTTATTTGGCCTGTTTTATCATTATAATGTCTGATCTTGGGTTTCATGTCAATAATCCCAGCTGTGCGCTTGGTATAATAACTGTCAGACATCCCATATACTCAGACCCCATCACACAGACTCCATCCATCTATCATAGGAAAGACTCAACTGACCATGACAGTCACAAATGGGACAATTTTCAGCTTTATATTTGGCTTCCATATGTTTTCATCTCTCATATGTTTGATTTTCAGTGTTTATTTCCTCTTCATGTGATTGAAGAGTAACTGCAGTGTGGCAGGCTGAGGTCTGCCCGTGCCATTGTGGTGGCATTACTGATCGGAAAGGTCTCCATTAGTTTATAAAATTGCATGTGTTCTCAGACAGCCTGTAATTATGCCTGTTTGTATCAGAGCCCAGGCTGCCGTCAGCAATATCTGCTGGTGGAATAAACAGGAGGAAAATCGCTCCAAGTGTGTCAGTAAAATTATATTTTAATAACTATTCATAAAGTTTGGAGTAAAAATGCAATAATTCTCAGCTGATTTATTAAACATCTGCTAGAACTGACTTGCGCGGTACATTAAAATTAATGTGTTTAGGTTTGAAGGTTTGTTTTAGACTAGTACATGCTTCCTAATTCTCTTCTGTTGAATAGTATGCTGTTGTTCGAAAGTTTGGTTTTGGTAACATTTTAATGTTTTGTATGCGCAACAAGACTACATTTATTTGATCAAAATACAGTAAAAACAGTAATATTGTTACAATTTAAAATAATAAAGAAATCCCTTAGTTTTCATTTTTTATGTATTTTAAAATGTAATTTATTCATGTGATGCAATGCTGAATTTTCATTCTGATTTGCTGCTCAAGAAACATTTCTTATTACCATTTATGTGCTGCTTCATATTTTTGTGGAAACTGATGCATTTTGTCATGATTCTTTGATTAATACAGTATAAGTTCACAAAACAGAAGTGCTTTGAAATAGAATTATTTTGTAACAATGTAAAAGCTTTTACTGTCACTTTTGATCAATTTAATGCATCCTTGCTGAATAAACATATACATTTCTGACTTCAAACCTTTGAACAGTAGTTCATTGGTTATCTATTTTATTTGATGTAATGATATTTATGTGTCCTGACTTTTTGTTTCACTGTCTGTCACCAAAAGGACCATGCTGGTTGGTTGACCAGCTAAGTTAACACTAATTTTTATAAATTAAAATATTTTTTTGTAAAAGGATGGTTATAATCTCAGGTATGAGTGCATATTGAAAGCCTCTGTGATATTTGTGTTTGTGCAGCCAGTTTGCAGTGCATTGCTGTTACTAAACGGCAGTTGGGTGTTTACGGGCCGTGCGGAGCTCAGCGCACCAGCGGGCTGGTGAACTTTCTCTGTGCCCTGCTGTGCCAGGCTGATGGGCTGACGCTGAGCAATGTGATGCCAGCTTTTCAAACACAGAATACATGATTCATCACAATCCCTTTGTTTCTCGTTCTCTCTCTGTAGGTGACATCACACAGAAAGGCTATGAAAAGAAAAGAGGGAAATTATTGGCGCCCTACATACCCCAGATACAAGGTAAACAACTCCCTCTCATCAACTGTAAATCCACTGTTTAATGAACTATTTTAGCAGACGGTGCATGTCTAGGTTATAAAATCTTCACCCATCACCTCTTTGACCTTCGTGAGAGGTCTACATTTTACTGCGGTCTGGATTGATCTGAAATACTTGCATGGTTTCAGTACTGTCAAGGATACTCTGAGCTAATGGAAACAATGTGTGTGTCTCTCTGGGGAATAGCAGTTATCCATGCTATAAAACGAAAATCTAAGTGCAGGGTTCAAACTGCCTCAAACTCTCAATTATGTGGTGTGTGTGTCTTTTTTGTTTGGTTTAGGGTGGCTAGCAACAGCCCATATATCCAGGCATGATATGTCTTTTCAAATGCAGAATATAGATCTGACAGTTATTTATGGTTCCTTGCTCTTTTCATGTCTTTTATTGGAAAGAGCAAAATGAAAATGCACCTAAAAATGAAAACGATGCCATTATTTACTCATGTTCTCCCAACTAAAAAAGAATCAATAAATAAAATCAAGATATTCAGCAGAATGTTCACACTGCTTGTTTCCATGAAATGAAAGAGGTTTCCGAGTATTCTGTAGTTATACAGTTGCTTTGTGTGAGGAATAGACTACATTTTTTATTTTATTTTATTTTATTATTAAAAGAAAAACTTGCTATCTGACATTGCTCTAAAATCTTATTCATGTTTGCATACAATATATTTTTTTTAACTATCACGTTATCGATTCTGTGACCTGCCACATTTGAATAATTTTTTTTAATACAAATATATACTGTATGTATATATATATATATATATATATATATATATATATATATATATATATAT